ATTTTTTTCTCTAACTTGATTGCAAGAAGAAGCCTTAAAGTGTAACCGACCCATCTGCATTTTYAAGACTTAAAAACAAGAAGTCAAATGGGGAGATCTCCAAATGAATTGGTAAGAAAARCATCTGAGGGACACCTTGTAAAAGCCCATTTCAGGTTTGTGGATATATGAATGGACAAGTATGCTAATGCTGATATTCCAAGATAGAAGATGGGTCATTTTATCCCTGGAGCCTTGGATCCTATAAGGATTGCTGCTCCTTCCCTAGGAACCCTCGCTTAGCATGATAAGCAGGTCAGGAGCAAATCCAAAATGTGATGAGGTCAAAATTGCATCTTTTGTAATCACATTGTGGTGAAGGGAACCAATAGGAGGCAGCAGTTCAGCTCACAGCAAAGGAGATAATGGCAAAGTATAAAACCTAAAAATAGGGATCCCTACAATGAGAACACCCTCACCCAGCTACGTAAGCAGAGCTGCTCTTCCCTGATCCTTCCTTTCCTGCTGCAGATCTCTCCCACCTCTGCTTGGGCTGCTCAGCTTTACACTCAGAGCAAYCAGAGCACACAGAGGGGTGACGTGTGCCAGACACCAGAACTGGCTGCTGCTTCCTGCAGGGAACTGAAAGGGTGTCCAGCAACTCCCACGGGGATGGCACTGCTAAAATCACTGCTGGGGCCTGCAGGGGTTTGGCCAGAAGTGCAGCACCTCRTCCAGCTAAGGAGAGCAGTTTTGGAAAGACAAGGGTCACCTCAAATCATCAGGCTGGGTATCCTCATGTTAAAAACCCAAGTTTTAGGGTTTTCGCCATCAGTGTATTATCCTTCCCTTTCTTCCTATGGCTAAGGCTTGATGAAGATCCATTTTCCCTTTCCCCATTGCCAATGTCTGTTACTCTCTCATCCTGGTCCCACTTAACTCCAKCCTTATCTTCCCATACTGCAGAACCCACTTCTCCCCAAAAGTGGTTTCATTTCCTCCCCCACTTCTCCCACCACCAGAAACCCTCTTTCCTCCTATTCCCAGCAGAGAGTGCTTTGCTCCCCAGCTGATTTGAATTCCTCCCTCCTTCTGTGGGCGAAGAATCATTCAGAGCAATGGCATTTGAAACTCTGCAGAGAAGGGAGGTAGACTCAGTCCCGAGTGGGAGTGCATATCAAGTACAGTGSTAGTGGGTGCATCCAGCCCCAAGACCACAAGTTCCCAAACTTTCCCAGTTTGTGAACAGTGCCTGAGGGCTGCAAGCTTCCTCCTGGATGTCTGTGCWGATGGCAGCTATCACAGTCAAAACCACTGCCATGTCATATACATGAATATATAACATTTAATATTTAATCTTTATGTATAGATAATCATTATTGTATATATAATTACATGATGCCATTATGGCAGATCATGGAAGATTCAGAAAGAAGTTAGTTAGAAATACTATATGGAAGAAAAGACTGCAAAAAATGGAAAAAACAAAAGGGTTTCTATTCAATTTTAACATCTGGGAGGACRGACTTCTCACCATCAACTGCTTCTATTTCATCAATAATGCTCTTTCTATGAAGAACCATTGAATGTAACATTTTTTAATTCATAGCTCATCAACTACTGCTTTTTCTGCTGAAAGTGGAGTTTGGCTCCTGAATCACCAGCAGAGCCCATTCTGGTTACAGGGTGATTGGAACCAGCAGCCAGAGTCTCACCAAAGCCCATGTCTCAGTGACATTTTCATTCTGAGTCACAATTATATTCAAGGCAAGAAATAAAATTGCCACTGATGGAGGTTCTGCATAATTCTTCATCACCTGAGCACATGAAACAGAAAAGCTACAGAATGAATTCGTCCAGAACTTGGCATGCTTAACAAATGTTGTTTAATGACTCTGTTCAGAACACCTACATGTTTTGTTCCTGTTACTTGTACAGCTCTTACACGTGACAAAGAAACTAATTTTTTAACAGAGGAGGGAGAAGGAGAGAGAACAGCTTATGGGCTCTTTTTTTTACTCAGTATAATAATAGTAATATGGGGTTCTATACCATCTATGTCTCAGTGACTTCTTTTAAACATGTTTAGCCTATAATTAAAGGATATTTTTTCTTATTGCCAACTCCATCAGCTCACACTGACATCAGAAAACCCAACAGTGTTCTGGCTCACATTTCATCACCAGTAAAGAATTTTGAAAACTGATTTTTCCTCTGTGTGGATGAAGATAATCCTTAAAATTATGGCTTTGGTTGTGCCCCGCAAAGAGGCTGCAGCACATACGTGCCCCACCAGTCCTGTATGYACTGGACATGAATCAGAGAGTCCCAGACTGGTTTGGGTTCGAAGGGATCTTAAAGTTCATCCAGTCTCACCCCCTGCCATGGACAGGGACACTTTCCACTATCCCAGGTTGCTCAAAGTCCCACCCAACCTGGCTGTGAACACTTCCAAGGATGGGGAAGCCATTCCAGCCACAGCTTCTCTGGGCTGTAAAAGAACCTTTGCAAACAGATGTCAACTTGCCTTTTTAGGAAAGTCACCTCTTAGATTGAAAAATCTACTTAAAACCAATAAAACTTCTGTTTTCCTTTGGCCATGCTTTTTCTGTGTCTGATCCTGCCACAGTTCAGATTCCCATGGTATAATTAAAGAGACCAACAAGCGACAGAGAAAACAAAATACGTGTAAGTGTTAAAAAAATATAAAAGTTTTAAAGACAAAGGTTCTTTTAGAAGCTCATTTTTAAGTSAACTGACATTGCAGTTTTTCTCACTTGAATTTCAGACAGAGGCCAGCAAAATTTACAGTAACAAACCCTTTAATTCTCACTCCATTCAGAGAATGACTCAGCACTGCAAGGAAAAGCAGCCTAAATGTTGTGAAGTTTTGACAAACCAGCCGAGGAATGAGCAAGCAGGAGTCCAACGTGGAAGCATTCACAGAGTTTGCATCTGAGGAAAACTTTGCTGATCACATTTTGGAGGTGGTTTGTCACAGGGCAGCCTCAGTGCAAAGTGAAATCCCATGTGTGTATCGAATCCAGTGCCAAAGAATTCCCTTCTGGGTATAAAACCAGTTAAAGAATTCCAGGAAGCCCTTCCTTACAGAGGAAGCTACTTCAAAATCCCCAAATGCATTCCAAAAAACTRATTTTCCTTCCACATTTCTCAATCTCAGGCACCTCTTTCTGCCTTCAGGGTGCCTCASCACTATTTTCAGAGTTCTCATCTTTGGTCCTGAGGAGCTCACCAGCCCAGCCTCCACTTGTCTCCAGCTTGGGATGACTTGTGCTGCTCCCAGATACATTTCTTGATATCTGCTATATGTATCTGCTATATGTATCTGCTATATGTATCTGCTTCCCAGATACATTTTCTTTGATAACCTGCACACCGAGATAACCCTGGGTTCCCTTCTTGCATCTCCTGACAGATCTGTCCATTTGTCCAGCTTCTGGAGGAGACACTCTGAGAGCAGGAATGGAGGGGTCAGATGAGGGGTATCAGAGATAAGGAAGATGCCAGGAGCTGGGGRAGGGCAGGGGGAAGGGGAAGAGGTTACACAGGACCAGAGGCTGGAGCTGATCACCGTGGAAGATGCTCTGGGGTGAATTTGCAGTGTGGGCTGCAAACCTCTGTGACAGCACAGTTGGGAAACCTCAGTGAGAATCCCTTCGGTTTCTACACTTCACATACAAAAAGAGCATAAATATTTTTCTTCCTCTGGCTAATTCTTATGCAAATAGAGGGAAGTTACAAGTTGTAAGAAGCTGCTGCTCCMCCACCCAGGTTCACATCAAGTCTCTGCCTCACAGACACCAAAACAAGAACACGTCGTGTCTGGGAAGAAAAGCTTCATTCCAGAYCGGGGCTGATCACAGACAAAAGCTGGCATAACCTCAAATCTCCAGGAGAAGCCATCAGGGGACACTAAGACTGATCTCTTCCTGTGCCTATTGCAACACATCTGTTTGGGCTGGGATTGCAGACCGTCCCCTTTYTGACAAACGTCAGCAAGCAGCGTGTGCTCCTGAAGGCTTTTACATCTGCGTCCGACTCACRCTCGCTCCAGAGGTTCCTGTTTCATATCCTGTTCTGATTGCTCTGTGTGTATCATGGACATTAATTTCAAGTACACACAGGGGCAAAAACGATTGTATAAAGATTATAAAGTCGGAGAATTTGTTAGGGGCCAGTTTGGGGTTAAAATCACACTCCCACTACATAAATGCACATGGATACTCAGCACAACTGCTTGTATTTCAGAGGAAAGTTATAGCACAAAAATAAGAAATGTTCAATGCCCAGCAAGCTTCTAATGTGCACCTTCAGAGACTTTCTAATTTTCAGAATCCTTACCAATGTTACAAACTGACTGCTAGAATGAGCACTTTCCCCTATCCCAGTAAAGTCCATTGGTGTAAATCCTTCAGGGGCAGTGAACTCTGTGAGATGGGAACAGTGAGCAGTAACAGATAAAAGTGCTGGAAGAGAAACATTTCTCTCAAACAGTTAAAGTGTGTTGTGGAACTTTGAAAACCTTGTGTTTCTTACCTTTGGGAGATATTTTGATTTCTAACAAACGGATATTTTGATCTCTAACAAGGCCGCCCTTCTGCATGGACACAGCTCTGACAGGGAACACAGGCCTTTTTGCCATCAGAGAGCTCCTGTGCTGCCTATTGCTGCAATTCCAGACAGCAGAGTTGGGATTCCAGGCTGCTGTGGGGCGTCCTCAGCTCCCACCCACAGAGACTCAACACACAATTCTCTGCCGACATGATTTTTCCCACATCTACCCCTGTGCTGGGCTCTAATCCAGGGAAGTTAAAAACCCTCCCCCATGACACCCACTCAGCACTACAGTATCTGTTTCCCAACCCTTCTGATAAGTGTGCCTGTTATTCTGTGCTAATCCTGTCCCAAACACACCTGCGTGCCCTGAAATGAAACACCAAAGGAGAACCAAACTAAGCATTTACCTGCAATGAAGTTCTCCCAAAAAAAACCTACAAAAAATTGTTCCAGTCAAAACCCAACAAAGCATTACAGCTCCTATCTGTGCTCCTTAATAGCAGGGAGCCTGCCAGGATATTCAAGTGCTAAACACAGCAGTCACACAGAAATATTTCCTGCAATGAAACACCAAGGGCAGGTTGTTTGGGGCAGGTTGTTTGGTTCCGTTTTTCATTCTGCAGGTTACAAATGTTTTGACAAACTTATCTGACTTGCAATCAGTAAAMAAGCAAGTCCTAAGACACTGGATGAAGGAACTGTATTTCCCTGATAGAAATACTTTTSCATGTCATCCCCAAAGGGAATGTAAGTCCTCAGTGAGTAACACACCAGTCCTACTCCTATGGCCTACTCAGTTAGGCTCAGGTTACCCAAATCCACTGAGCAAGGACTGCAACACAGTTACTGCTGCTTCTCAGAAAAATCTGAGCATGGTCCAGATTCTCTGAGTTACCTGGTTGATGCTGTCTCTCACTGTGCTACAGATGTGCTCCTGTGAGCAATGCTTACACCTCCTGTCAGCTCTGAAAGAGCAAGAGTAGGGAATATCCATGGAAAAGACTMATGAGTTCCTATTTCAAGTTAATCTCCATTGACAATCAGCATTTTGGGCTTTAGGATGCGCATGCATTTCCTCTCTGAGACAATGTGAAGATCTTATTTCTTCCAACTTTCAGTATCAGATGTGCCCTAAAAAAACCCTGAATTGTTTCAATACCAACATAAGGATTCTTCAGACTGAGRAAGAGAAAGGGAGGGCTGTATATCAACATGAGAAAAATAATTGCTCCTTAATCACTGGTTCTCCTTAGAAACTTAGAGGAGGTTGTTTTGTGTGCAAAACACTGCACYCTGGGAGCATGAAACCCCTCTGAGTTCACTGCAGGCACAGCAGATCCAAGCAGATCRTGGAGATGGTTATTTGGATATATTTATAGCACCTCACAATTCAGAACAGGTTGAAGACTGAACATGCAAATAAATTCATCTGAGGAATCAGAGAGTAGAGTTTTTTCGGTCACCAAAAATGCTCTGCAATTTTTCATCTTCATTTATGTCTGCTTTTCTGTCTCCTAAAAGAAATCTCAAATAGAGCTTGTATATTTTCTGTTTCTAATGTACTTTATAAAGAACTGTGAAGATTTTACACTTCCCTGAATATGACCTGAAGGTTTCAGATTTATGCAGACAGAAATCACTGAAAATACTCCATTAAAGATAAATTAAGTGACTACAGAATCAGATATAATTAATATAGTGTGTCCTCATTCTCCAAGGAGGGAAAAAARAGAGGGATTATCACCATGAAATATCAGCCATGGATTAGACAGAGAAAGAAAGAAAAGGATTAAAAAGTGGATTGTGGCTCTTGGTCAGATACGCATCTTTAGTGGAGCAAATTTCACCTAATAAGTCATTTTTCCTCCATCACCAACCACTAATCTCTGGTAACTGTGTTCCAGGTTATGGACTAGAGTGGGAATCCATGGAAAATGCATGAGGGTGCAGATCCTGGATACCTGTATTTGTGATGCTGTTGACACAGCAGTGGCTCGGGGTGCTCCTGCTCCAGCCGTGTTTCCTGTTTCTATAAACATGCTCTGTTTGAAAAGGGGCTACTCTGGGCACACGTGTGCACTTTATGGCCACTTCTGTGCCAACATAAATCAGCCCCAAATGCCATCTCRGTGACATAATGTAAGACTTATGCTTAAGGGAGTCCACATCCATAAGTGAGTGGGTTCCAAGGTAATAAATTTGAGGACTCCACTTGCATTTCAATCTCCAAACCAGACAGGCTGCCCCGTGGTTCCCTTGGCWTTTTTGCCTCAGACTCCCCAAATTTCACTCTTCCATTTCCTTCACTTCCTCACCTTTCAGGGTCAGAGTTTAACACTGCAAAGGGAAATGAAACAGAGAAAAACAAAACAAAACAAGCTGTGAAGCAGATTAAAACCACATTTGACATCCAGAGCTACATGGTTCCTTTTTCAGCTGCAGGTATAAAGTAGTAATAATTTTGCATCCACAACTCACAGTGTAGGGTTGTGTTTGGAAAAAAAAAAGGAGGTTTTCTAAGTGCATCTTTGCTCAAAAAAAAAAAGTCATGGCTTTTTAAATGTATTCTATTTAATGGTCAATTCAGCTGATTSCTTAATTGCTCTTTTTTATTGCTTAGAAATGGTCTGGGAAGTAGAGAGAAACCCTCTTACACTTCCCTCCACTCTTGGTGCTCTAAATGCACGGTCTCTGAGGGGAAGATGTTTGCAAAGRGAACCACAGAAATTGAGAAGATGGACCTGCCAAGTGCCTTCTCCTGAGCACCAAGAGAATTGCCACCAGCCCATGGCTCTTGCAGAGCTCCTGCTCTCACTGCACTGCTCAGCACCATCCATCTGCTCAGAGAAACTCACTCAAAGACAGAGTTCAATTCCTTTCCCAGGAAAATCAGAAAATTAACTCCTACTACCTTCTGTGGAGGCTGGATCAAATGTAAATGAGGAGACATGCAATTAGTCATGGGATAAAATGGCCCATAGGATTYAGGAGGAGAGATGCTTTACAGGAGGTAATTAGCTTTTGCTTGCCCAATTTATCCACATTGCCCTGAGTCAGTGGGCATGAGGCCAYTTCATGGGATCAACCCTGAGCCAAGGATTCCCATGTTTCCCCAGCAGAGAAAGCTGGAACTGTTTCACAGAGCCAACACAAAGGTTCTTAGCTTGGTCCCACATTTCTTCCTCTAAGGCTCTCCCAGCTCAYGAGGAGGTCACAGGGATGACCCTGCAGATCCCAATCCATTCTGAAACTGCAGCGTTCCCACATTTGTTTGTGCAATMCTGCTGCAGAACCTGTTTCTATCAGACAGCCTGATTAAACCTTCATGCTTTTTAAGGAAGACAGGATAGTGATGATGTGGACATTTCCAATGAGATCTCCTCTGGTTCATTTTAAATATTCAGCCTCACTTTCCAAAGGATTTCAGTTTTGTTTCTGGCTTAGTCTGATGAGTGTGTAACCCATGCTGGGGCAGACTCAATATTTAAAGTACAGATTTCTGGGACCTTATGTAGAGGTCATCATTCCAGCATGATCAATTTAGAATGAAGGAATATGAGAAAACAGTAAAAGAGGTCAGACTTCATTAACCTAGTGAGAAATCCCAGAAAAAAAAAACAAAAAAACAAAAAAAACCAAACATAATTAACAGCATGCATAAGAAAGCAAGACAGGGACTAGTCTTACCTGGTGAATAAATATTTTAGCTAAACTTTTACTAAACTGCTAACCAGGCAGAAATGAAAGAGCTTCCCTTCCAAGTGGATTGTTTCATTCCTTCTTCTTTCTTATCTGGGACACAGAAAATCAAAGTTCAAAAACCACTGCCATGGTTTTGAAAATCTAATGTAATTTGCTGAACACCAGTGGATTTTTCTACAACACCTTAAGTAAACGTGCAACACTTAGCCATGATTATGGAGATCTGAGGGAGGAACAAGATTTTTCTTTTTTACACTTGGAATTCTTCCTCTGTACTTGCCTTATGTCTCAGGAGATTTAAACAGAGGGGGGAAATGTGTCTAAGGGAGCTTTTCACAAAATAAAATGTGCGTGTGTACAGTCACAGAAACAAAAAAAACATGCAGAGAGTTGAGTTTTTTATAAGAATCTCCTTTAGAAAAGAAAGATTGCATGATTTTAATGTTTCTGTAAAGATAAATGAACCAATAAAATAATTGAACAAAGCCATTAAAAAAGATGAAACTTCCCAGGTACTATTTGAGTTAATTCATGGTCATATTGGACACTCTTGCTCATGTTCAGAGTTTAAAAGAGTGGCTTTGGAGATCAGAGGTGAAACAAGCAGCTTTTCAACACATCAGCCCAAATTCAGAACTGAATTCTTCTGCCACAAGGCAAATGGATGATTCTTCCAACCTGGAGAGGGAAGAATCCTGCAGGGATCAGCCCCAGTTAATGCAGGAACAAGAAAGATGAGAGTGGAGGAGACAAAATGARTGTGCAAGTAGGAAGGAAACACAGCAGAGACTGGAGGCTTGTCTARAGTTTTTGAGTTATTAGGAAAATAGATGTTTTCTATCACACCCTGTCTCTTGCTTTAGTAAYCATTTTGCAACTTCCAAATCTTTATCAGCCAAAACAAGAACAACACCATACTTTGCACGTGATGGTGTAACGTGCTAAACTGATTGGATGATACCCTGTGCCAGATTAGGGATCTCTCTGGTCCTTCTTGTGTCTGTGGTTGCAGCCACGCACAAAAATGTAACAAAGAAGTAAAAGGAAGTTTGCAATAGGCAGCTATGGGCAAATCAGCCCACAAGAACTTACTTACTTCTGCCTAAAAGTCAAAGCCTCATTTGCACTGTGAAGAAATTCCTGKGCCTTACACAACTCTTAATGATTTTCATCCCTTGCTGTAGTCACTGTAAGCATCCTCATAAACTGGATAAATGCATCTTTTGCAGAGTTCTCTTCTTCGTGGTGATTTTGTGGCAATTAATTTCTTTTAGGATCCAGATACCTTTCCARGATGCCTTAATCAACAGCACATCCTGGCTTGACCACAAAGCTCCTGAAATTTGCATGTGTTAAGTGCAGACTGCAATAATTCAGAGAGGTGTCCACAGGAGGAGGCAAAAATGCCAGAATTTCCTATGCTGGGGTAAACACGCCACACATTTGGGAAGAGGAGGTTTGAATCCAGCCAGTTACTGTTCCTTACCCTGGTGCACCACCATCCACCCATCCTGGGACACCTTCATGCCCACCTTCCAACTGCCTCTGGAATGGGATTCTGGCTGCAGGAAGTCCTTCAGTGAAGAGTGAGGGATGAAAGAAGTGGGAACAGAACAATTGCATGGATACTCCCAGAAGTTKTGCTCTTGGGGACAAGGGGCAAAGAGCCTGAACTGGTGGTTTTAAATCAGGGGAAGAGGTGGAACAAGCCTTAAGAGTATGTGGGAGGACCTGGGAAATTAAAGCAGAGAATTACTGCACAGAACCAGAGATCCTTTGGTCAGCAAAGGATCACGCAATTATCCAGGAATGAAATCATGGCTCGAGCAACAACTTTGTGCCACAATTGAATCCAGTGGGGAGTAGACATGGAAAGGGTGGGCTCAGCCTGGAGTTTTCACACTTAGGAGCACAGGCAGGGAGCCCAGCTAAAGAGCTGAGGGCGAGTGATTTATGAGGACAGAGCTAAATGGTTAAACAAGTAAGGGCAGACATAACAGTCTACAAATACCCACAGGAATAAATGCCAAGGAGTGTGAGGAATTTTTGGAACAGCAAGATAAACTTCCCAAGAATAAGGTGCAGTGGCTTGTGACACACTTGCCCAAGCAGCTGAAGTTTTGCTGGGCAAAGGATGAGCGAAGGAAAGGCAAGGAACAAACCTGTGTTGTACAACAGGTGAAAGGGATTGTTCAATTCTGTTCCAGGTAAGTTCCAAGTCTCCATCACCAGAGAAGCTACTGGCAATGTCCAGCAAGGTAAAAGAGTTCGAGACAGGATTTTGGAGCCTTCCTGCAGCTGCTCTTCCCCTTAGGATTCTTTTGTTAGCAGCAATTACAAATGTGATTTAATCCAGACAGTTTCAGGTTGATTGTGCAGATGAAGAAGTCACACAGCTACTATTGCACAACAGCACTCAGAGCTAGAAAAGCTGTCCACCACAGCAGTGTCAYCACAATTAACATCCAATTTGCCCTGGATAAAAGATGAGTGTTAAAATTGCACCTTATCTCATGCCCACTTGAGCCCCTGAAMCAGCTCTTAACAAGACTTGAAGTTTGTTTTGAGCTGAGCACCTGCRTGAAGGGTGAGATCCAGCCCAAGGTCGTGTTTCAGGGAGGGAAAGATTTCAGCAGGAGGCCTGGGGGATGTGCCTGATGCTCCACATGAGGGAGAAGAGCTGTTAGGGCTACACTGAGCAGRAATGCAAGGGAAAGGGAAGGAATGCAAAGCAAAAATTGAACAAACAAAAAGGACMTTTGAGTTTTGGTTCACAGCRTGGCATTGYGRCTGTGGCAGGGTCAGGAAAAGAGACARCAARGTAGAAAAGGACAATGGGATTGGCWCTGAATCCTTCAGATTGCAAAATTATTGCCTAATTAAAGGAAATCAATAAATGTAAAGGGGAAAAAAGAAACTCATGAACGGTCCTGAATTATGGTATGGGGGAGAGGAAAGGGATAAAACAAACCAAAGGCACAGTCACAGGAAACAAATGTAGCCCTRAGATACCCTCTAATCTCCCTCTTTTCTGACAGATGTCCCATTCCCAGTCCCTGGGGRTTGGTTTGTGCACTCAGGAGGGTAAAGCAGTTTCCTTACTTCCTGCCCTGATTGAGACACTGGATCACCAACATGGGGTGTTGCTTAACTCAGGGCAGGAACCTCCTTCTCACTTAGCCCTGACTCCTGAAAAACAATCCCGGTGCTGGAGTTCAGTAAAGAGGAGCCACACCACTCCCATGGTGAGGAGGGGACTGAGAGAAACCAGGGAAGCTGCAGGGGATTTATTGTGGCTGAGCACCTTTAGGTGGTCAGGGGATGATGGCTTCGAGGTTTCAGCACATGCACAGAATCAAACTCATTGCTAATATGTTCTAAAAATAAAAGATGGATTTCAGAACTATCTAACAACAAACTGCACTTTATCTCCCATTTTAAGGCTTGGAAAGAGCTGGCCATCCTAGGGAGAAATGCCACTTAATGTCAAAACAACATTTCAAAGCATTTAGGAGATTTAGGTGTTGATTAATGAGATATTCAGGTTCACAAGCCAAAGAAGCCGGGGAATTCTTTTTGCCAAAGGTTTACAAGTGGCAGGCAAAAAATTCCTGAGGAAGAAAGACCTTGTAATTAAATCCTTAACTTGAGATTCAGGTTCTTCTTCTCACCTTAATGCCTWAAACACAACAAGAGGTGCCTTATATATTTGTAAACACTGTGTTCCTTACAGGGACAGGATACAATGTACAATTCCCTGGCCTTGGCAAATTGTCAGGAGCCTACAGTGGGAGGAGCKGCCTGATTTGCAGTAGTGTCATTCCTGTGGTAAATATTTCTAAGAAAATTCAGGTAGTGGCGTGGAATCCCAAATTGTGCCAGGGAGAGATTTTGAGTCTGTTATGCTTGTTTCCTTTACTGAGGAAGAAAAGTGTTTTTCACCTCCCACACTTCTTTGTGGCTTTTTCTCCTCAAGGTTTTTTAGAAAACTGTGAGCAGGAAGCTAAAACAATTACCTGAACAGACCCAAACAGTCTGTAAACTCTGACTCTCCCAAAGAAGCATTTTTTGATGTACAACAACTTCCAGTGAGGGAGACACCTTCTGCCCTTTATTTCTGTGGGGTGTTAGAAGACATCACACTGAAAAGTGAGAAAAAAAGAAAACAATCCTTCCAGTGAATCTTTACTTTTGTCTGGAATCCTTTTCTCGATGTTTATGGCAACCCATAAAGTTGCTGAAACACGCCTGCTGTATTTTTAATTGTCATTTTAAATGCCAAAACCCAGAAGYCTTGCTTATATTGTATGTGAACACAGTGTCTGCTTATGTTCAAACCCTCAGGCGCTTKAAATAACTCCACTGTACACAGAGAACGCTGTTCATTTTGTTTTTACAATTTTTGCCCGTGCAGAAGGAGCTCTAAGGTCCTGAGAACAGAAATGTGCGTTCATAAGCAAGGAGAGAGATCACAGCTGGACCTTACCTGAGCCTTGGATCACATTTCTGCAGCGGCACGGCCGAAAAAGCCGCTCATTTCTGCGTTTGATTTACAAGAGCCACAAGTGGAACAGCACATAGTAGACTTACTGACGTAAGGCACAGGTGAGTGCACGGCACAGGTCCACCTCTGTGCCTGATCCACAGGGAATATCAGGCTGTTTCAGCCAGACTTTAGAGCCCTTTCTGCCACAGCCCTGCAGGAACCCGGCCTGAACCCTGGTGTTAGTAAAGGTGGCAGCTGCCATAACAGACTTGTGTGTAGCTTACAAATTTGGGGCATGAAATGGGGGTTTTTTATTGATTCCAATGAGTTTTGTACCAAGCCTCCATTGTTCTGCCCTAAAGAATAAACCATTAGAGAATTTATAAGCTAATTTGTTGGRTTTTTTTTTCTTTYAAGGATTAAACAGGAGCAGATCGTAATTTCCTTTAAATGCATCTATTATTCATGAGCATTCAGTAAGTTTTATTACGGGCTTAAAAACAACAGCATATATATCTTTATACTCAATTCCAATCTCCTACATGGRCTGAGAAACTCACATTTTATGTTCAGTTGTGATTGACCATGAAAGTCAGAGGGTATCACGTGTTCCCTGAGTAAAGACACAGACAGGTATCTGGCCAATGTTCATTTTTCACRTTAGTTTTCTGTAAATAATCTTACATGCAATTTTGCCACTTCCTCTCTGCAGGAATCTCTGGGAGTAGGTTAGCAAACTGTGGTTTGCAGAAAGCTGACACACAATATTTATGAACAGAGAGGAAGTAAATGAATTTCAGTGTTTGATTTAACATTGGAGAAAATCTTTTTGCAGTATTTAATCATCCACAGCAACAAGAGGAGGTASAGTCCCACCCCTAGCCCGGACTTATGACCAGGAAAGCAAAATTGTGCTGAGTTAGGACTAAAAACAAGGGGTCAAAGAAAGAGACACTTCATTTCTCAGTGTCCATCCCATAATGCCAGCCTTGTGACAGCTGCCACTATTTGTAAAACGTGCAGAAGAGGGATGGGTGGAGAAATGAAGCCACAYACACAAGGCAACACCCTTTTTAAACAAGCACCACTTTTTGCGATGACCTGTACAAGGGTCATTTGGGGTTTTCCTCCCCTTGGAGTCTGGGTTTCCTGAGAGGAAGGAGAGCTGAAATACAGGAACCAGTGGCTGCACACCATTTCCAGCAGCACAGGAGACCTGCCTCATTGACAGAGGTTTAGGAACCACATCTGAATCTCCAAACTTCCTGGTGTTCTCCCTTTGAAAGGAGGGAAGACGGGGGAGGACATGGGTGGAGAAGGTGAAGAGGTGGTTCTGTCCTTTGAAAGGCCTTGCAAACACAGCAAAACCGCTCCCAAACCCTCAAATCCACCAGGAAAATGTGTTGTGATGCAGTGGGAAACACAAGGAGATGTTTCAGCTGAGAAAACGTGCTGGGCTAGCATCACACTTGTGCTTAAAAAGCTGTTTATAATAAACAACAATTACTTACAGTATCGTGACAAGGTTGTTAGAGGACTGAGATACTGCAGAGCATCTGGTTCATCTGGGTGAGCCCTGGAAAACAGTGTCAGGTATCAGCAAACAGCARCAACAGATGGAGTTTTTGTGAGGCTGTTGGAACAGGAAGAAATGCTCAAACTCTGATTGCTGGGCCATTCTGTGATCTAATCMTGGCCAGGGAGAAGAAAATCTTCCTCTCATTAGATCTGATAAGAGAAAAACTTCAGTTCCTTAGATAAGAACATCAGTTTGGCTGGGCTATGTTGCAGATCCCTTTCAAAGGGTTAATGGGACCCCAGAGATAATAAATGGATTAAGCAGCTGTGTAGGTGCTCRGGAGATGAATATAGGTTGATTTTTCACAAACTTAACCTATGCAGAGTGAGTCATAATTTGCACCTTGCGTCATTCAATAAATGGGTCTTTTAAAAGTCAGCCCACTGTGAATGGGCTGTGAGCTCTCCCAAAGCAAGAATCCTGCTCTGCTGCCCACAGGAGGATCAAAAAAAGCTCTTCTCCCTAGGTGACAGTGTGATGGCAATAATAGGGACCAAACAAACAACTCTGTGTTTGTGGGTTTGCCACACCGCTCTTAAAAGGTCAAAAGGTTTTGGCTGAAACAACTSTTTCTGCTTCATGAAAGATGAATTCTTAATAATCAATGTGTATTAATCTCATTGCTGCTCCTGCTGTGCCTTGCAACGCTGATTTTTCATTCAATTATGCCTCGCACCAACTTTTTAATTAATACCTATGTCAGGAAAACCTTGAAAGTTTTGATAAATAACATCTGCTTTTGTGCCTTTCAACCGTACACTTCTGTGAAAAGGAAATGTTTCTATTTTGTAGTGAGCCAGGAGAAAGAAAAKCAAGTAGAGAGGAGGTCTACATGTTCACAGGGACCTCAGCACTGAGCAGACAGAATAATCATCTTTTGTTGAATACGAACATAACGAAAAACAAATCCAACAATACCCTTTTGTTCTGAGCAAGAAAGGCAGGGCTTTAATAGTCTTTAAACGAGATAGAAAATTTCCATCCAAATGGAACCATGGAGTAGGTAGACACATTACAATGTTTTGGAGTTCAGTGATTACATTTAATACTGTGCCAGGCACTGATTAGTTGATGAAGGGCGTTCAAAACCAGAACAGAAACAAGGGAAGTGTGGCTCCAGTTTAGATCTGGGCCTCCCAAGCAGTTTGGTGTTCAGCTTTCTACTTTAATAACAGTGTCAAACAAAAAAAAAAAAAGGTTTGATTTGATTTATTTCCCTAAGGAAACTCAGTACAATTRTAAACACAGGCTGGCTGATACTCATTCCTAAACTTCAGCATTCAGGGTCAGATCCAAGAAAAGATCTGAGGTACCAACCTAAGCACAGAAGCACATCCTTTTGTTCAGTWCTTTCCCAGCTCACTACCTCACTGCCTGCACTCAGGGTACTGATACATGTAAATCCCATTAGTAGGCACTGAATTTTCCCAAATCACTATGAGGACACCCCTAATGAAGGCTTCTGAGCCACAGCCTCAGAGTTGGGTGCCCATGTCCCTTGTGGATCTTTGAGTGCATTGAACCCCCTGGCGAGCSCAATATGACCCATTGTCCTTAACACCACACAATCATGACCAATCCCCCTGGAGAACAGGAGCAGAAATCCCTTTTAACTTGGCTGTGGCCTCCTCTCCTGAGCCAGCCCAACCCAGGCCACGAGCACGTGATGCTCTGAAAAGTCACAGCACAACCTGAGCCCTGTGGATAAGGTGGATCAAGTCAACCTCAGCAAAGACTTCACCAGCTTTGGAGAGGATGAGCAAATTCATCTCCTGGGTTTATCAAATGGAGAATTATGCCCTAAATTTCGATCAGAGATCTTTGAAGGAAATAAAACTTTCACTTCACTTTCTGCCATCCATCTCAGTGTCTGAAGTCCTAGGTAAGACTCACTTAAGTCTCACAAAATATAAGGAAACTTAAGCTGAGATCTATGTTCTGTAGAAGACATGCCAGGTCTTTTCTTCTTCCTTCCTTGTCATCAACTATTCCTACCATCCAAGCGAAGGCTATCATCATTGTAATTTGAAACAAGTCCTCTTGCATTAATACCTATTTTGGACCAGACCTGCTCTTTGCTGCCTTAGTATAAATCTCTTGTCTTTTCATGGACTTTCTCCAACTCTACTCTGGTCTAAGCAAGATCAAAATTTATTTTGGTGATAATTTGCAGGGTTGTGCTAAAGGTCAGCATTGTGCAGGCCACACATCTTGGTGAAATCTCATCTATTCAAGGGGGAAAGGATTTATAGTTATGATTTAGTGTAACAGTAACATGATTTTTTAAAAAAAATTATAACTTGTAGATAATTTCGCAAGCTTCTCCTTGAAATTTAAAAACCCATCCATCAATTAACAATAATTAATCATCAAGCATGTTAAGTATTCAATAGAAGTGTGGATATGGCACTTGAGGACATGGTTTAGTGGTGAACAGAGTGACAGTGCTGGGTTGACAGTTGGATTTGATGATCTCAGAGGTCTTTTCCAACCTTAACAATTCCATGACTCTATATTATGTGTGCTAAGTTAGCTGCAGCTTTCCCTACAAGAAAGGAAAACAAAAAAGTCTGGGAAAAACTGTGTTGGAGTCTATTTAACACTTCAAATGAGTGCTTGTGTAAAGCTCCTCTCGGAATCCTCCATCACAGGCAACTTYCCTGACTGCCAGAAGGCCTGGGAGCTTTTCCCATCAATGTGAGAAGYGAGAGATTTGCACCTTAAGAAAAATTTCCAACTTATCCTTCAYGTATTATTTGTGCTCCAGGTGGTGGTAAGACATAAATCCTGGAAGCTCTCTCCACAATGGTCGAATGCCAAGAAATGGAGCAGTTTACTGGAACAGCAGCAGTTTCTGCTGTCTTTGCAATGCCAGTTTCAACTAGGAAGGTACAATATTTTATATTCTGAGAAGCTGAGCTAGACCATTTTGGCAAAAGAGTCTGTCTGCCTGYCGAGGGTGGGGTAGGTATTTACTATCTCTATAATGACTTCCTACTGCAAGTGGGTCAGGTAATTCAAATAACTCGCCAAAACTGCCCTTGGTGGAGTCTGGTGAAGTCTCGCCTGTAAGTAAATAGTCCCCGAGCTGCAGAGGGCACATCCTCTGTCATGTGATGTCTCAGCCGCTTCCTGGCACTGCCCCTCCAAAAAATCCTTTGCTTTATCTCCCTCCCATTGTAACAGTTTCACCGCTGAGCTGCTGCTGCTGCACTTTCTGCTGTCAGTRGCCTGTTGTGAACTGGAAAAATACCTGCTGAAAAGACTGGTCAGGTACTGAAGTGATACCAGAGGCTCCTCCTTTCTCTGCCTCTGTTGTGGGCAACTATCCAGTTTGTCAGTTTTGCTTATCCAGCTCCAAAACCAAAGGTTTCAGCATCTGGGCTGCACAAATAATCAGGTTTTAAACAATAACTGCAGCAGAAGATCAGTTTGTTGCCTGTGATGAGTGCAGTGCTTGGCTTTCCCTCACCTGAGCCTCAAACACATGGCTCTTGTTCATTCTGGTATCTGCAGTGGGGTCAAAGGCATTGTGTGTGTGTGTGTGATGGGAAATCCCAAACTCGGCAAGATCACAGAGGTGCTGCCTTGCAGGGTGGTTGAAAGTTAAAAGGGAAGTATGAAGTAGCTCAAATGGTAAGAAATAACTACCAGCTCCTGCATGGCTCCTGAGGCACTGTGGATGGAAAAGGATGCCCTGTCCACTGGCAAATCAGGGCYRGGAGTKGGACTCTGATGAACCTTGGGAGTCCCCAGGATATTGTATGATCCCATKAAATCTTCCTTTGTGCAAAGCAGCCTCACCTGAGAGCTTCTGGGGAAGGACACAGCCATTGAAAAGATCCTGCAAGCATTTCTTATGTGTTTGTTTGCCAAAACCAGAGTGGCATGGCTTGGTTCACCATCAACATTTTGGGCAATGCTGTTCATGTTGTACCAATTCGCTAAACCAAGTCAACAAAACAAAAAGATGTTCAAAGACTTGTGAGTTCTGGATTAGACTGATGYCTTCTGGGAAACATCTTCATGGATCTTGACAGTTTAGAATAGCTTTTTAAAATAAAAGTTTGGAAAATTAGCCAGTTATTTCACAGATGAACTGTGTTGTCATTAAAAGTTTTGCTTGTCTATCTTTCCAAACAAGCATGCTCCCGTAAAGAGCAAATGAATGTCAGTATTACCCTTAAATGCATTTGAAAATTAATACTGTGCCCATGTGTCACTTCAGAGTACTCTGTTTTGATCTTCTCAAGGTTATCCCTTTGTTTTGCCCCACAAAATGAACCACAGACACAGCAGGGAATGAGTCAGGACACAGAGAGAAGGAGCAATGGTTCCGGAGAGCATGGCCAGTGGGGGCACGGAGTGGAGCTAAGGATGCAGCTGAATGAACAGGGACTGGCACAAAGAGAGAACACTCTTCTGTTAAAATTTTATTTCAGGCTCCTCCACCTTCCAGCAAGGCAAAAGATTCTCTCAGGCTCTGCAACACCCGACCTGACAGACCCAAGTCTGCACTGGAAAGACGTGAGCCACGCAATGCACRCCCTGAGCGGGAAGGTGGCCCACAGGCCCCGGCACTTCTGAGCAGGGCTTTGAAAAGAGTTTCCAAGGGCTCTACACAAAAAGTCCTTTCAAAAGTGCTCCATAAAATACACCTGAAGAAAGCCCGTTAGCTCTGCTCTCTCTGTTTAGCTCAGGTGTTGTTTTTTCACACACAGAAACACATGTACAGACTTAGAGCTCYGTACAATGCCCCACTAAAGGCATCGAGTGCTGGTTATAACTCCATCCAAGATCAACAAGGTCTTTTTCCACAAGCAACCCTTTGTGTTTGGGAAGCCTTTGCCCTGAATTTTACTGTCTCCAAGTCAACCAACAGGTGCTCTGCAGACAAACGTGAGCTATTTAAGTGCAACCTGCATAACAACTTCCCAGGCTGGCAGGGAACCTTAAATAGTAGTTAGGGACTGGAATGGGTAAGTTTTATGCAGACA